GCTCTGCAGTGAATCTCCTGGGTCAGATTTGGCTTTCTACCAAGTCAGGATGATCCTGAGATTGCAAGAAACTCGCTTCTGCTCCAGTAATTTTTAAGCTCCTCTGCTTTCTTCCCTGATGTCCCACTTCCTTGTTTTTGGGGTGCATCAGCTACTGCATGTATTGGGGCAAAATGAAAGCTGTAAATTGTTTATAAAATCTCAGCTGCCCTCCACCCCCACAGCGGCCGGTGGCTGAGATGGGAGTGCTGCACTCTGGCATCAGTCCAGGGCGTGTGGCTTTGCATGACAAAGCACTCCTCCCAGGAATATTCTGCAGGGCTGAGATGGCCATGTGCTGTCCTGGAGCTGGCTGGATCTGCACAGAAAGGTGTCTGAGCGTGGGTAGAGAGTTATCCCTTGGGCCCAGTCAGAGCTGGAGGGGCAGGCTGCGGCCCCAGAGCTGGGCTGGAGAGTGGCTGGAGGCTCCTGCCTCCACCAGGGAAGGGTCGAAGGCTGCTGTGAGGAGGGGCGGTTGGATGTAGCAGGTGTTGGCTTTTCCTGCTACCTGTTTGCAGGCCTGGAGCCTGCCTGTACTCCTGTCCTGCGGAAGCGACAGGCCCCGCGGCTGGCGTGTGGATTCGGTGCAGGGCTGCCTTACTCTTGGGCGCATTTGGAGTTTGCCTGTTGACATTTCTTTTAGCTAAATGTGTTTGGAGCGAGTGGCAGAGCGAGTGGTCTGGAGCCGTTGGCTGTCTGTGTGCAGGCAGATGGCACCTCCCAGGAGGCTGAAACCAGCCCCAGAGGCTCGGTCCTTCAGGGAAGGTGGCGACAGCTGCCAGGACAGGGCTGCCATTGCAACTTGTATTTCCCAGGTGCTCTGCAGAGCTGTGTCCATCCCAGCGAAGGCACTAGCGGCTGTTTGCCAGAACGGCTCTGCGCGGGGCAGCTGCAGGGGCTGAGCCCTGCGCTCGCCACCGCAGCAGGAAAGGGCCTTGCAGGGAAATGGCTCCTCAGTCCCGCCAGCTCCTGGGGACATCGCCGGGCACCTTCTAGTGCTGGGTGCTGGCAGCCCCCCTGCGCTGCTGATCCCAGCACAGACAGGATTAATCTCCCTGGCCTGTAGAGTCAAGGGCTGTTGGACGTCCCTGGCAGGTCTCCAGGACGGCTCAGGATGTGGAGTGGGGATGGCCTGGGCAGGGCCCGCGGAGCCAGAGGGTGGCAGCTAGCCACACTGGTGTCCCCTCCCGCGCCCAGCCCTGCGGGCGGGGAGGACTGCTCTGAAGTGAGGGTCTTGGCCCCCCTTTCCTCTGGGGGGAAATGCAATTTGTTTCATCTACTGTGCCAGATCCCATCTTTGCAGCAGGAGAGTAAGCAATGGACTCTGACTCATTAATTTTTATGTAAAATTGTTGGTTTCCGCAGGTTCTGCAGGGTGAGCTGGCCAGGGGAGGAGCTGAGGTCTTTATCTCGTTTTACACGTCTAATTATCTCTCTGGATACGGATTCAGGTTTCCTGGTTATGAGAGGTGGGTTATACAGTGGATGATGGATGTTTAGATTTTATTTATCCTATCTTTTATGGCTAAGGCACATGCTAGAAAACTAAATAAAAGTCGTACATGCTGTACTTAGTGGCTGTGGGCAGTGCTGTGCTTGGAGAGCAGGGGCTAATGTCAGAGCAGGAGTGGGGGCCAGTGTCCCTTGGCTTGTCTGCGCAGCAAGGAGGGGGTCAGGTTAAACTGGAATTTGAGACCTTTGCTCTTCACACTGAGGGGTGGAAAAGGGGTGAGTGGTTAAATGGGCGTGCTGGGAGTGTGGGGCTCCTCCATTCCCGCTGTCCTGTCGGTGACCTTGAGCAGGCTGTGCTGCATCTTTGCAGAGTAGAAGTCAAGGCCAGTGGGGGTTGGTGTTCCCCCCCTGCCTGTTGTTTGCTCATCAATGAGGTGCTGTGAGAGCAGGTGGGGAAGGGCAGAGCCTTCATCACCTCCAGGACTGCTGGCTCTGGCCTGGCTGTGCCCCCCGTGCTGCTCGCTCTCCCCTCGCGCTGGAGGGGACAGGCTGGTTCCAGACACGGGGCTCGCGCCGGGGGCCCGGCGGCCTGGACCCGCAGCCCCACAGCCCTGTTGCTCCTGTGCTGGGAGCTCCCAGCAGCCCTGGGGGGCAGGAGCCTTCTGTGCCGGAGCTGCAGCCCGTTTGTCCGGGGCACGGCTTACAACAGAGGAGCAAACCCCACCTCTTGGTGGGCACGGATCCTGCCTTCCCACCCGACTCTGGCACTGGACAGTTCGAGTCCACAGGTAAATTCTGGAGCGTGAGGAGTGCGGCTCTCGATGGGGATGGGTGAGCAGGTGAACGATGCGGCTGAGTGAGCGCGTCTGAGGAGAAGCAGCGTGAGGGGCAGAGCCTGATACAAACTTGTAGTGGCCAGCCCCCCTCTTTAATGATCGCTGGGCTGGCACCCGTGGGGTGACAGCTCTGGGGTGGCTGCAGCGTAGTCCCTGGGGCACCAGCTCTGCCCGCACCTGTGCAGCCCCGACACAGGTTATACCGTAAACTGGACAAGTGCAGGCAAGTAACTGATGGGTTCGAGCGTGTGTGGGTGAGTGTTGGGTCTCCTAAGCCTTTGCCTCTGAGGTGCCCAGGTGGGAGCAAGTGGTCCTTGGAGCGTGGGGTGTTGTGCAAGGTCAGCAGGCTCTGCCTGTGGCGATGATGGGTGCAGGAGCGGGTGCTGCTGTGGGCACTGGACCCTCAGCTGGTTGCTGCCGGGGCAGGTGCTGCTTCTGGTGATTCTCAGGCGTTGGCACCTCCGGCACCCCTAGCAGGGCTTCTCTGCTGCAGCTGGGAGAGGGGTGCTTGGAGACCTTCCCTTCTCCAATCCCTCCCTTAGATTTCTGCAGGAGCTTCCCACAGGAATATGCCAGGGTGCCCAAGGGGCTGTGCGGGAGCTGGCATGGGGTGATCTGCCTTGGCTCACGCCTGGTGATGGAGTTGTGTGATGGTGGGTGAGGGGAGGAGGAGGCAGGACAGACCCTTTCAAGAAAATGAAGCAAGAAGCATTTTTTAAACAGTTGTTTGCAAGGCAGGGAGCTCGGTTGCTGTGGTGTAATCTGGACGTGCCTGGCAGGGATGCACCATAACTTCACTGGAGACAGCAAAGCATAAATAAGTCAACTCGAACTAGCTTGTTGCTGAAGACTGATGAGGGGGATTCTCATGTTATCAGCAGAGCTGCAGCTCTGAAAAGACAGCCAGGGAGAATGTAAAGCAACCATGGTAACTGCTCATTTTCTTCAGTGAACACCCTTGCTAGGAGATCAGAAGTGAACTGGTCTGGGGGAGTGTGTGAATCCCTGCTGCTCGCAGCAGCTCTGCTGTCTCGCCTCCGGCCCGTGTCCAGGCTGGGCTGGTGCAGAAGCGCCCTGGGTACTTGGCTTGCCTGCGAGCGGTGGGCTGGTGGTCTCCTGACAGAGGAAGAGGAAGGCATCAGAGACTAGAGCTCCTCATCCTCCATCTGGATGGTTCCAGCTTTGTTTCTGCCTCCTGTGACATGGGAACAGGCTGCTTCTGACTTCCTGTGTACCTCTGGTGTTTGGGACTGTAATGGCTCTAGGCTCGGATGCTGACAACTAGAAGCAAGCCTGGCTCTGGGCTATTCCTGACACGAGTGTAGCCGGGATCAGCCTGTGAGATCGTCTTTGCAGCATATGCATGGATGCTCTGCAGAGCAGAAGGGTTTCTGGACCGGAGTGTGGTACCTCCCGTCCTCAGCTTGGTGCACAGCAGCACTGAGAAGTGCGTGAGGCAGAGCAGAGCTGCTGGATGCAGCAGTGTGAGCTGTGCAGTGTTCTCTCATGGCCCCTGCAGTGTGGGCTGGTCTTGTGCCCTGGAGTCATCTCTGAAGCAAAACCTACCTTTTAACTGCAATCATTGCTGGGGGATCTTGTCCGTTACAAATTACCAGCTTCTCTCTCTGTCAGCCTCGTCAGCTCTTGGCCCTGGCAGTACCTTGCAGCAGGGAGTTTCCCGGTTGGTTTGACCTTTCTTATGAGTAGCTCAGGGCTCTTCTCCCCATCCTGCACTTCATCCCGCCAGAGAGGTGACCGGTGCCAGTGCATGACCTCTGGGGCAGGGATGCTCTGAGTCTGGTGCTAGAGGTGGAGCTGGGTAGCCTGTCCTCCCAGGTCTTCAGTCACACCACCTCTGTTCACAGAGTGTCTGTAGGCAGGATTAGGCTTCCCCTCCTTCCTCACTTCTGTTGTCTCTGTTGATCTCAGCCCCTTTGCTGCTGGCCCCATTCTCATGTCCTGAGTCCTGCTTTTGTCAAATTGAACATGATGTCAAATTAAAGCCATCACAGGGACAGTTGGAGTGAAGCACCCAGTTTAATGAGGCAGCGTTGAAAATCAATAACTTAACTGCAGACATTTGATGGACTTTTATCCAATTTATAGTCCTCCTGCCCTGCTACGTGTAGAGCATGAGGACGTGGTGCTGTGTCTGGCTCTGGGCAAACAAAAGCCTTTCCTTTGCCCTGGCTGTCATCTCTTTGCAGGTCTGTCTGCTGCAGATACGTGGTGCTGCAGCATGAACCAGGCCCTGGCTGGGAGGTCCCTTTGCGGGCTGGAGGTGACCCAGTTGTCCAGTGCGGACAGGAAAGGGGCCGATGTGGTAACGTCTGGTCCCCAGGTCCTTCCCAGATGGTCCAGCAGAAGTCCGCTGGGAGAAGAGCTCCCAGATGTTCAGACCAGTGATCTGGGGAGTAGGTCCTGCCTAGACAGCAGCCCCGAGGTGACCCAAGCTCTGGTCCCTCCTGCCACTCTGTGTCTGCAGTCCTGGCTCTCGGGCTTTCCTGGGAGGCAGTGCTGCCTTTGCACCCAACTGTTCTTGTTTCTTTCAGCACGTGTGAGTGATCAGCGTTGGCCCCCATTCTCTCTTCTGCCGGCCCCTGGCCCTGAGGTTTGCGTTGCTCTTCTCGCCTCCTCCCTGACTTTTTGTTTTCCTCCTTGTCCCTGCTTCAGGCACCTCTGTGATGCAGGTGATGGCATCTGATGCTGACGACCCCACGTATGGGAGCAGTGCCCGGGTAGTCTACAGTGTACTGGAGGGCGAGCAGCACTTTACTGTGGACAGTAAAACAGGTGAGCAGCACCCGGCCGGGCCGGGCCATCGCGTGGGTCACTGGGAGGCCAGACCGCAGCCCACACCCTGCGTCTGTTAGTGCTTGCACTTCCGTGCTGGCCACTGAGGCTGGGTGCCCGTGCCAGGGCGTTACTGGGTGTTGGAGGAGCTCGATGGCCCCGCGGGCGGCTGCCTGGCCCGGGCAATGCCTGTGACACCGAGCGAGACCTGCAGCCACCAGCCCAGAGCACCCTGCCTGCGCCTGCACCCGCCAGAGCTCCACTGCATCCTCTGCCCACAGCAGGAGCGCGCCTGCAGGCACATAAAATCTCCGTGTGAAAGGTTTAAGTACTACCAGAGGGGCCTTACCAAAGGCTGCATTGTTATCACCAGGGCTTTGATTAAAGGTAACACTTTAAATTAAGGATCGGTTTATAAATGTTCTATTAATATTTAATGAAAGAACAGTAGAAGGTGCTCCATTCCTTAATAACTTATAATAGAGCCTGTTGTAAAATGCCTCTGTTATAAATCCCTAGCAGATGATGCTTTGACATACTGGTTAGAGTAGACCATAACCAGGAGATGTTGGGGTATATATTCCCCTGCCTCCCAGGAGCATGACTCTCATTACCCTTAATGGGAGCCTTGCAAGCTTTCTAAGGAGGGAAGACACTCAAATGCTAATAAGAGGTATTTAAGGCACAAAGCATGTAGTAAAGTACCTGCAGTTTAATGAAAAATTGTCAACGGACAAGCATGCTGGGTAGCTGCAGCTCTTGGAAAGCTAGACAGCAAAGTTCCCCCTGACTCTGTTGCTGAACCACAGTGACACAGGCTGAGATCAGCCTCTGGACTGAGCTGCTGAGTCTCTCTCGGGCTGACCTGTGTCTGCTAATAGATAATATTTAAGGCTGGTTTTATGCAAGTCGGTGAAATTTGTTGGGAGGCTCTGGCGTAAGGAAAGTCTGTGTGAAACCAGCCACCTCCTGCAAACTGCTCTGGTGCACATGGGCAAGCCAGGCACAGCCCCTTCTGTGCCACCAGCCCTGGCTGCCATTGGAGGAAGGGGCAAATTCGGTACCTCCTGAGCACACCTGAGAGCGGAGCAGGGCAAAGGGTGGAAAATGCCATTGTGTGGTCAGAGGCTAGTGCAGTGGAGAGGGCACAAGAAGCAGCTTGGGGCTGTACCCACTCCTGGCCCAGAAGCTGCTGCACATGTTTCTTCTCTCCCAGATTTGCTCTGTTTTACTGGGGTAAGGTGGATGAACAATGGGCTAAACACTGAAAATTCAGGTGCAGGTGAGATCCTGTTAGTCTGAGATAGCTTTGTGTGAGTGGAAGCCTGGCTGCTAGAATGAAGAGGGACCACTGGGAGCAAAACGCACAAGCCAGGACGTGCAGAGGCTCAGCTTCCTGCAACAACATTAATGCTCTGTATTAAGGCATAAACTAAAATGTGCCCTGTGGGACTGTGGTGAGAATTAATGTCACTCTGGGAATCCAAGCTTCTTGATTCCTTGACTTTTTGTGTCTTAATTCTCAAGCTGGCTGCTTCATACACTGGAGGGGTTGATTTACTGTTCTACTTGCTTGCGATTCATAAAAGCAAAACTGCTGACAGTTTGCAGAAGAGTCCTCGGCCGCTCTTGAGCGTTTCCAGAATATCTGACCGCTAAAGCAGGTGCTGGGGCTACGGAGCTGCCCTGTGCCTGGGCCCGGGGGTGTGGAGCGCAGCTCTGCCCGGGTGCAGCCTGGCTGCGGCCTCGTGCCCCGCGGTCAGCACTGGCCCTCCGGCTGCGCTGCCAAGCAGGGACGTTGTTTCATTGTGTCTCTCTGGCACTGGCATTTGTGTTGTGTACCCCGAATCAGGCCCCAGAACTCGCCTTGCGTGTGTTGAAAGTCTAGACTGGCTTTATGGTGTATGCATGGGGAGCACAGGCTTTGGAGGCACGGTTTTCTGTGCCAGCTGTGAGAATATCCCCATGCCTTCTTGTGAGAGCCTGCAGGCGTTAGCCACGCTGAGGCTCTGTGCTGCCTTCCTCGTTATTCCTGGTTTGCAGAGAGGCTGCAGCCGGCCTTTGCTCTCCGGATCGGGGGAGCCCGGCTGCCATGTCTTGGGGAAAGAGCTGCTTCTGCCATTGGCAGTGGGTGTTGGCTCTGGGCGAGAGCTCTCCTGCAAGCGACAGCCCCTCCGCACTGCTGCTGCCCACGGGGCAGTCAGCCCCAGCGTTGCCTAGCTCTGGTGCTAGTCCCAGTTCAGCTCCAGGGAGCCTGTCCTCACCAAGGTGCTTCTACCTTACACTGCCTAGACCCCGAGATTGGCCCAGAGAGTGTCTGACTCCCAGTGCATTTACATGAGAGCAGAAACCAGTGTATGTTTAAATTGGCAGACCAAATTTTCATGTTGCTTTATATTGCTCTGCACTCTCCGTACCTCTGCAGATCACTCACCCATACAGGGGTACACCTCTTCTTTGGCAGCAGCTCTGCCTGCCTGCTCACGTCTATTCCCATGTTCTGTGCCGTGCCCTTTCTCACCTCTGGCCAGCATGGCTGGAGACTCCCTGCTGCCTGCAATCCCTGCCCACAGCCTCAGGAGGAAACCTGAAAACACTCGGCACCCGGGCGGGTGGCACAGCCTGGTGCCCTTGGCCCAGTCTTGTTCATCCCTTTGCAGGGATATTGACTGCTACAGAGCCGTCACAGCACATAACGTGGTAGGCCTCGTGATATTTGGTGCTTTCCTTAAAAGCCCAGCTTGTCAGTCTGGAAGAGTGCATTGGAGTCTTGCTTTTTACTGAAAGGAAGAGGTTGTTCTTAAAATCTGTCATTCTGCTGTATGCAGGGAAAAGGCAGAAGGACTCAGAAGGCTAATTGAAATGCAGTCTGGCGTGTTTGATTAAAACAGCTTCTGAATTCTAGAGCCTGTCTCCTGATTTGGATACTTAGAGGTGAGTGCTTAGAGGTACTTGTGCCAGAGAGAGCAGGACAAGAAATACTGTCCTGCTGGGATGAAGTTGGTTATTTGTGCGCAGTCAGTGGTTGTTTCATCCTTACCTGTCAGCCTTGCCGCGTTTGGAGACTGACCGCAGTCCGGAGGTAGTGAAGGTAGACTGGGAGAGGAGTTGTTGCTGGGCTCATGCCGCATGCTGAGTTGGGCTGATGAACTGTTGGATTTGTGTGATGCGGTGGTGGGAGGCAGAAGTGTTTCTCTGCTGCTCGTGCCAGTTTGTTAAAAATGCTCCTGGAAGCGCAGATATTGGGGCGTGGGGGTGGCGGTGGGGGTGTGCTCATGGGTTTATGCAGGTCTGTGCCTCATCCCAGAAGTTTATTCACCAGAGCTGTGCGCAGGGCCAGGGGCTCTCAAGCGTGGGTGCTGGGCGTCTGCAGAGGAGCCGTGCTTACTTAAGGTGATTGCTCTTATTAGCAAGACTGGATGTTAACAGTCCTCTTCAGAGACTGGCGCAGGGACTCCAGGTGCTTTGGGACCAAACTGTATGTCTGGTCAATTAGGGTGTGTCTACTACTAATGTGCAGTGGGAATTAATACTAAATGATGAGGGATTTAGCTGCTAAAAGAAGGGACCATGGCAAGGGAAGTGTGCTGGCCTCCCTGCCCCCCGGGTCCCCGCGCGTGCCTCCCTGCAGGGCACTGCTGCCTCTGCGCTGGCACGGCCAAGGCTGATTCCAGCCGGGAACAAGCCCGTGCTGGGTGCTGCGCTCTGAGCAGTGCTCTGCCTCTGCAGGAGCCATGGGGTACGCTGGCTTGAAAAGGGCTTGGCCACCCAGTACAGAAAGTACCATGTTAGAAATCTGCTGGCTGAGGCATCCTCAGCCACAGTAGTTTGTGATTCTGTACCCTCCCAGTTAACTTTGCTGGTTAGCTTGGTTATGCTGATGCAACCATCACATTGCCATTTCTGGATCTTGGCTCTGAACCTTATTGGCAGAAGAGCCATGAACCTCCTGAACTATGTGCCTAGTACCTTGCTCAGCTTGCCTGTAGCTTCTGCCTACCAAATCGTCCTGAGCCAAAGGAGGGGAAGGGGGGCTGTGGTGTGGGGCAGCTGCAGTGCTGGTTCTTGGGGCTCAGGCCCTGTCTGCAGGGGCCTGACCCCCTCCAGGACATACGCCTCTGCAGGCAGGTGTGAGCACAAGTGAGGAGGCTGCAGTCTGTTGGCAGGTACCTTGCCACCCCTGGGCTGAGGCAGAGATCTGTTTGCTTTAGCTGACCAAGCTGCTGAGAGGAGTAAACCAGTTTATCCGGCTAAATAGGAGGGGTTAGAGAAGACAGATCCAGGTGCTTCGCAGCCTTGCACAGTAAAAAGACACAAATGGCAGGAAAACTTGTCAGCATCCTTGGAAACTCTCAAAGCCTGACTGGATGTGGCCCTGAGTAGTCTTATCTGCCTTTGAAGACTGCCTGCAATGAGCTGTAGTTGGACCAGGGACCTCCTCAGGATACGTCTGTGTATGTAGCTCGACAACTTTCTAGCTTTGCACTTCGTGGCAGGGAGTGTGTTAGTCCTGACTGCCCTCAGCTGGAAGGTGCCTTGTGCAGAGGGTCTCCGAGGATGTGGACATCAGAGTTCGAAGTATCTTGAGAGCAGAGCAAAGCCCATAATGATGGGATTCCTGGAAGGCAGTTGCCTGTAGAGTGCTTTGTCCTGCTTTGTTTTTATCACCCAAAGAGTGTCTGTTGTTTGGGCAGATTTGATGGTATTTATGTGATGCTGTAAGTGTCCCCTTGCCTGGTTAATTATACTGATTAATCTGGATCATGCTGGAAAGCCACATGTGCCTTGTACCAGAGGGGATGCCACCGTGTGTCTGTATTACTCAACTCTAACAGATGCTGACAAGAACTAGGGAGATGCGTCCGAGATGGAGGTTGTTCTTTCTTAATGGTGTCTAGGAAGGACAAAATTTGGCCGATTTTCTGGCTGGAAAGGCAAACCTTGGGAGATGATAGTGAGGATGTTTTCATGTTCCACATAGAGCAGTGGAGGTCCCTGCCTCTCCCTGAGAACAGGGCTGCCACCATCGCTTGCTGCTGCTCTTGCAGAGTCCCTGCAAGTCAGGTTTTGGGAGCAGAGACTGTCCTGGCTCTAGGGGATGGGACATGCAAGTCTGCTGCTGGTGGGTGTTTATGGCAGCACTCATAGTGCCACGTTCAAGGAGCTGGTGTGGAGTGTGTCTGGAGACCCTGATTTGTCAAGGCACTCACAAATGGTAAGTGGTGCCTCAGCCTGAAAGACAAGCCCAGACATGGGGTAGTAGCCTGGTGTGGCCCGTAACATCAGTGGGAACAGCCTTCTCAGTTAGTCTGCGTCAGAGCCCCACTTTTCCAGGATGGACTGGACGAACAGCGTCCTGGCAGGAGCTGGCTGCTGCTCACAGTCTGTGCCCCTGCCAGAGAAGGATTTTGTCTGCCTCTGCCACGAGAAGAGCTGGAGCCGGCTGGGGCAGTTTGCCCTGCTCTGCACGTGCCAAATGGCCTGGACTTGCTCTCTGCTGGGACGGGTGACCTTGGAGGTGTTCTGGGAAGCGCCTGAGCACTTTCCTCCCATCTTGCGTGTGTATTATGAGCTATATCATTACGAGCAGCTCTGTTAAGTCATTACAGCCTTCGTGAATGCATGAGCTTTTTCCCTCTCATCCCAATTCATCACTATTGTGCTGACATAAATCATTTTCATTATAAAATGCTTCAGACCCCGTTAATTAACGGAATTGCTTAAATTTCAATGAGATAGTGCTCGCCCAGAAATAACAGTTTTATATTCATAGTGGAGTGGCAGGAGAGGCCTGTAAGCACGACCAGCCGAGGGCAATCCATGCAGCCCTGGGTGCGTGGGCAAGGCCAGTCCTGCCTGCTCTTGGGTGGGACGTGTGCCAGGAGGCTCATTGCCCCCTTGTCGGGGCTCCCTCGGCCCCTTCAGATGAGGTGGGGTGGGACTCCTGATCAAAGGGCTTCCTCTGAACAGACCCAGGATGAACAAGGGGGCCAGTGCGGTCCCTGGGCCCCATCATGGGGTGAACACCCACTGCCTTCCTCTGGAGGGGCTGGGCTGCTCCTAGCAGCAATTCTGCAGTGCTCTGTCTGCCGCGCTGCTGCGTGCTGGCCGGGAGCGTGGCCCTCAGCGGAAGGGCTGAGGTACCGGGCTGGGTGAGCAGGCAGCTGCGGGAGGTGCTCCAGAGAGGGGGTGAGACAGAGCTTCCTCTCGATTCGTGGGGCTGGAGGCAGTGGGAGTCCAGGTAATTGCAGAACTGAAATGACAGAGGGACAAGGGAAGCTGAGTGAAATTGTGCCTGTCTGTGAGAGCTGGGGACTGCAAGGATCTGAAACGGTGGCTATGCCTTCATAATAAATCCCAGCAGTGATAATCGTTGGGATAATTGCTGGTTTCGGAAAGCAAGGAGAGATAAATGTCTCCGGAACAGTGTTGCCATCTCCTGCTGCACCTGTAACATCATGCAGAGGCGGGTGGAGGGGGGATTTCATCCTCCCAGCTCCGTGGCGTTTCTTTGGGCCGCAGCACCAGCGGCTCCTTGGTGCGAGCCGTCCCCCCACAGCCGTGGTCGGGAGGTGCACAGGGTCGCGCCACGCACGCGGACCGGGAGACTGCGGCTCCCCGCTGGCCTTGGAGTGCTGGTGCCTGGAAGCCTCAGGATGTGTCCCTGAAGCCACATCTTGTCTCCTTGCTGCCTGTTGGCACCCAGCTCTCCCCTGCCGCGCCCGGGTTGTGCTGACAGCTTCCCAGAAGCATCTGCCTCGAGCCAGCCACCCCGACCGCTGCAGTGCTCTGCCGCTGCTCACGTTGTGTGTCACCAAATGTCTTGCAAGTTGCTGAGAGCAACTGAATGATTCTCCGTTGTTCCTTGGCAAGGGAGGAGCCGCTTGTTCCTCACTGGAGACCCACACAGCTAGGCAGCCCCCCTCCAGCATCTTCCCTGACACCAGGCAGGATTACTGGGGAAACAAAGCAAAGATGGGTTTTGCAGTTCACAGTAGGAGAAGGTAAAGCTAACAGTTAAACAGAAAAGCCTGAAAGAAAGAGCAATTACAAAAACATAATGTCTAAATCTGTGGGAATGTTAAGAAACTGAGCTGAAGGGGATTTCAAGCTGATTCCTGGCTGTTCTGGGGTGTTGCTGGCATAGTGGGATTGGGAATGTGCCACTAATGACCTTGTATCCATGTATGCACTCATGCACGCCCCTGGTGCCACCTCAGGGCAGAATAATTTCTTTCTTTCATTTTCAAAATATTTCTTCTCTGCTTTGTTTCTATGTAAATGAAACACTCCTGGGTGACATAGAACTCATAACTTCTGTCATTCACAGTGTTTTCTGGGTTTTACTACTCTTTGTTTGTTGTTTTACATTCCTTTATATTCCTGGTCATTTCCCCCAAGCCTAGATGACTACTGAAGACCTATAAACACTTTTTTTAAGAGACTTCTTTTCATAAAATGTACTAACGTACCATACGTTTTGTTAAGCTTTATGGTCTCTAGTCCCTGACACAGAGCATGTTTATCATCACTGGTCTTGTTAATTTAGAGGGACACTTGCAAACGAGGGGGTTTGTGCAGATAGACTTTTGGAAATACGCTGCCCCCCTATCTCCAAATCAAGTAGAGGGGACCCCCAGGCACGCTTGGGCCATGAGGCACCTGTGAAACAGAGCCTGGGCTGGAGCAGCGATACTCCGTTAGGAATGCTGCGCCAGCCTGGCTCCTCTTCAGCGGGTAGGGATAAGTGGGCTGTTGCAGGTTTGTGCCGAAAGGCTTTCGTGACTCAGCCTGGGCTTTCACACAGCCTTTTGATGCAAACCTTGGGGCTGGCCCCAGTGCAGCCCTTGTACTGGGGTGAGTCCTCTGCTCCTGTGCCTCTGCCCCCACCAATCCTTCACCCAGCTCCTGGCCTCCCAGGAGAGAAGCACAAACCTCTGTTCCAGAGCTCAACCCTGTCAGAGCTGCCGGCAGCCCATGGCAGCAGTCAGGAACCTTTCCTGCCACATGCCTGTGAATTGCCTGCAGAGAGTTGCTGGGATCAGGTTGAGCCTGTGGCCCTTCCTAGGCTCTGGGGGGATTTTCATGTTGTTTCTGCCTGGCTGAAGACAACCTGGGTTTGTTCTTCTCCCCAGAGCCCTTTTCTCCCCTCAGTCAGCTTTTGCTTACGTGATCTCTGTGAAGGCTGGAAAAGGGTTTTCTCCCCTTTGCGCCGGGGTCCAGCAGATGATGTTGTCAGCATCTTGCTACCTACAGCAAAGGTGTCCAACAGCACCCAGGGCTGTGTTAGGAAGAGATCACCAGTGAGGTGATGTGAGTGCTGTGTCTGGTTCTAGACTGCCAAATATAAGTGAAGCACGGGCATACTGGAGCGAGTCGGGGACAGGCTGTGGAGACTGGTGAAGTATCAGAGTACCTGCTGTATGCGGAGAGGCTGGGAGATCCAGTTGATCCTGCCTAGAGCTGGGGCTTGGACGAAGTGCCCTCCGTCAGCCCCCCCTCCAGCCTCACCCCGTCTGTGACCCTGCGTGTGCTCAGTCACCTCCTGTGCTCACGCTGTGCTGCCGCTTTCCAGGTGTGATCCGGACAGCCGTGGCTGACCTGGACCGCGAGACGCAGGACCGCTACGAGGTGGTGATCCGCGCGACGGACATGGCCGGACAGCTGGGTGGCCTGTCTGGATCCACCACAGTCACCATCGTGGTCACCGACGTCAACGACAACCCACCACGCTTCCCTCAGAGTAAGTTCTGGCCCCTTGGGGGGTGGGATAAGCTCAGCTCCCACCACGTGTCTGCGGGCCGAGCCAGCCTGGCAGCGTGGTGGAGGGGCCCTGGACACGGCGCCTGCTCGCAGTGCTAGTCCTGGGAGAGCAGAGCTAGCCCTTCCCTGACCCATCTCTGAGCGGCGCCGGGGAGGAGGCAACCTGGTCTGTCACCCTGCACACCTGGGAGCTCGGGCAGGCACTTGGCTGTTGGCTGCTGCCCCGGAGCTCTGCCCCGACGCGAGGCACAGTGGCGCTGCCTGGCTCATAGACAGCAGCCTTGTTACAGCACATCTGTTTTCCAGGTCACTGCTAGTGGCCTGTGGCTCAAGCTCTAATCTGGGACCACCCCCCAGATGAGGAGTGTGGGTGATCCTGCTGCCAGGAGTGGGCTGTGCAGTCTCTGCTGCACACCAGCTGCAGATCCCGGCAGCACATGGTACCTTGAGTGCTCCCCAATTACCTTCCCTCGGCCCTTGTTTCTGACTGGGGTGTGTGTTCCTGCCAGGGCGTTCAGGACCATAGACCCTGGTGAAGCTGGGGCAACCTGGTAGGCTGAGGGTGCCTGCAGAGGGCCTTCTTAGGCTGGCAGGGGTTCAAAGGCAGAAGCAGTGACCCTAGTACCTTTTTCTCCTTCAGAGATGTATCAGTTCAGCATTCTTGAGACCGCCCCGGTGGGTACAGCCATCGGGAGGGTGAAGGCAGAGGACTCTGATGTCGGGGAGAACACGGACATGACATATCAGGTGAAGGATGAGGAAGGGGTGGAGATGTTCAAAGTCACCACGGACAGCAATACCCAAGAGGCTGTCATCACGGTGCAGAAGGTGAGAGGTGAGGGAGGGCACAGATCTCTAGGAGGGCCCTTTCCTCTGGGGACTCCTGCCACTGCATTTGAGTTGAAATAAATGCTTCTCTGAATGCTGCTCTAGCAGTAGCATTTTTGTGCCTGCAGGTGCAGGGAGAGACCTGCCTCTGCTCTGTGTGGTTGGCAAAGTGCAGACCTGTGTCTGGGAGGAAGGTCTGAAAAGGGGCAGCAGCACGATGCCTGCCAGAGCCTGCGCAGGGCAGCACCCGGGCGGCAGCGGAGCAGCGAGCCCTGCGTGGTGAAGCTGTGCACAGGGCTGCGGAGATGAGTGCTCACAGCTGCTACTGATAGCACCCCTTAGCAGAGAAACATGCCCACCTCATTCCTATAGCTGACCAGCAGCACTTTGTGTCTGCTTTTGGTGGCAAAAGCAACCAAGTGAATGCTTGATGCAGCCAAGAAAGAACGGATTGTTCACCAAGGCCGCTGCACTCGGCTCGCCTCCCCTGCAGACATAACAGCAGGGTGATTAATGACTAAAACCCGCTCGCCTGCAGCACGCAGTGTGCTGTCTTCCCGGTGAATCCTGGCTGCCCGCACCTTGCACAGCCTGGGGGCCCTCCTGGGGTCCCTGGGGCAGCGGGCTGGAGCCTTCCTCTTCCTCCTGCCCGCAGTGCGGGCGCTGCCGGCTGGCGGGCAGAACGCGAGCCCCCAGCCCGTGGCGGAGGCCCTGCCTGGGAGCGGGTGGCCTTAGTGCTGCCCCAGTGTCTCTGGGGCAGGAGGGGGCGGCCTGGGGGCTCCTCGGGCTGGCTGTGGCTAACCCTTTCCTATTGTTCCAGCCTCTCGACTACGAGTCAAAAAAAGTGCACACTGTTGTGGTGGAGGCCCTCAACAAGTTTGTGGACCCGCGGTTCGTGGACCTGGGCACCTTCCGGGACCAGACCATCGTGCGGGTCTCAGTGCTGGACGTCGACGAGCCCCCCGAGTTCCGGCCCCCCTCCAACCTGATGGAGGTCCAGGAGGACGCGCACGTCGGCTCTGTTGTGGGGGTGGTCACCGCCCTTGACCCAGACACAGCGAACCATCCTGTCCGGTAAAGCAGCCACTGAAACCTTGCACCATCTTCCTTCCAGCAGTGGTCGCGGGGTCGCTCCGAGGGGCACATGTGACCGTGGCTGGGGCAGAGGGGGGGTGATGGCAGAGGAGGAGGGGCAGGCAGGTGAAGATGCCACATGCCATACGCGTGTCTGGGCGTGTGAGAGTCCTGGGAAGCAGCCAGCTGGCGGGTGAGTGGTGGCCTGAGTGCGAGGAATGGGTGAGCAGGACCAGCCATCCACAGGTGACAGGTGTGCTGCTGTGAGTGAGAGGGGTGTTGGGGAAGGCAGTTGGGTGACACTTGCACATCCTCCCTGCTGACAGTGAGGTGTCAGTGGTGGTGCCTGGCACAGGCCAGACAAGCAACCAGAAATGACCGGAGGGCAGTAGTGAAGAAGTGAGCTGAGGCTTTGGGGGTGCAGAGCCCCAGCTTGGCTGTGTGTGCATGCGTGCAGGGATCAAAGATCAGAGGAGTTTACATTTGGGCAGGGAACATAATCCAGGCAGCAGCTTATCTGCACAGGACATTTCCCATTTCCATTTAATTTGCAGCTAAAGAGATTGTTACCTTGTTAAATTGTTATTACCTAAGGCACAAAGCAGCCTTCTGGCTCTGCCAACTGGCCTGAGTCATGAGCGGTTGTGTTGGAAAGCTGGTGTTCAGAAAACATCCTCAGCGTGTGGAAAATTTCCTTGAAATGTGTGTTCTCGTGCCAGGTGACGGCAGGGCTGCAGGCACCCTGCGCAGACTCGCTTCAAAGGAGCAGCGGTGGCTTTGCACTGGAGAGCTCTGCAGGGACCCCATCCCGGGCAGCATAAGGTGGAACAAAGCAGGGAGAGGGACATGGTGGGGGATGTGCCCGGGGAGGCTTCGGTTAGAGATCTGATCCTGTTCAGCAATTTCCACCGGGCTGCGTGGCCATGGGGGATGCACTGCGGCAGGGTGGGGTGAGGGGTGTTTCCTGATCTTCGTGGAAATGAAGATTGAAATGTTTAGAAAGCTCAGACAATAATTTACTCATGGAAAACTGCCATGTACAGATGCCTGGCAGCTGGCAGAGAGTATTGTGTCACAAAGCTGGATGCTGACAGTTGTCTTTGGGGTGAATGTGAATGAAATCCGCCTTGGCATGCCAGGGACTATGTATGGGCTGTTGCAGCACTTGCAACAGCCGGCGCGGTCTGTCGGACATCTCGGAGTCGCTCTGCTCACCTTGTCGTGTGGCTACCCTCTCTGTTCTTTGTGGCCACCCTGAGCACGTGGCTGTTAGCTTGCACTCTTCACATGTGTGCAGCCTTTCTATGCATCTGTGTGTGTGTACACGTGTGCATGTGCTTTTCCACTTGACTGTTTCTAGCAGTGCTACAGAACGTGGATTTTATTTTCTGATCTGTAGTTGTAGGAGAGGGGCCTTGGGGACAGAACTATTCTTACTCTGTTTTTTCTCTTGTTCTTTGTGCTGCTTCCCTGTGGAGCTTGTTGCATTGTTTGCAGACAGAACAAAAGCAAGAAGTGGAGGGAGGCTTTCTGCTGCTGTGCAGAGGGTGATGGGGACTTGGAGCAGAGGGAAGCAGATTCAAGTGCTCTGCAGGAGCAAGAGGGTTAGAGCCCAAAGTTTGGTATGCGAGTGTCTCTCTTAGTGCAAGCTTAGTGCCAGGCAAGGCAATGCCTCGTGCTCAGGCACGAGGGCCCAGGCATCTGCTGCAGCACGGGAATTGCAGCGTGTTCTCCCCTGTAGGCTTAATGCATTCAGATACATGTTCTCCCTCCAGCTCCCCCCAGGCAGGTAGCTCATCCTGCACCCCCCATGCTCCCCTGAGGCCTTCAGTCTCTGTCCATCCACCTCTTCTCTCCCTCTCCTCTGCTCTTGCAGTGCCCACTGTCAGGAGCAGTGGCATCTCCCTCCCTCATGACGCTCCCCTGCACCTTCCCTGCCGCTTGGCCCTGTGCTGGCTGGGGCTGCAGGTTTGTGCTGGTCATGCCAGCGGGGCACCTATGCAGGAGAAAGGTTCTGTTAGATCTCTCCTGCTTTCCTGTCCTCTGGCTAGCCAGGTAATTTAACAAAATACTTTGCCACGTAGGCAGCTGTTCACAGCTTCAAAGCGGTGCACAAACATGAATGCAAGCATCCTGTAGTACCCTGCCAGGATGTGACACTAACCCGTCAGCAGGAGACGGCAGTAAGTCACGCAGCATTTCAAGTGTGCTACTCCAAAGTACAGTCACAAGAAGCCAGCACTTGTACTTCACCTCTGATACATTAGAGAGCAACTGATCCAGACAGCATGACCAGTATTTGATCCTCGGCTCCTTGAAGTTGGTATGAACCCTTTCAAGTTGCTGCAGTTCAGTGGATCCCTTTAACTTCCTGATCCTTGTCTGCTAGAGGTGGAAGCAAAGATGTGGCTGTGTTTCTGCAGGGGCTGCTGCCTCCTGGACTCTGGTCTGCGTGTTGGCTCTGCCCTGTAAATAGGGGAGAGCCACAACCTTCTGTCATGACAAGATGCACTCTCCCCTTGAGGCAGGAAGGAACAAGGATTGCCAGAGACAGCAGAACAAAAATCAGCTCTGTCAGCGTTTCCAGGTCCTGCTGACACCAGGCTGCCAATAACGAGGTTTGGGAAGTATTTTTAGCCAAACGGGAAAGGAGGTGCCCTTGGCTCTTTGCTGTCATCCCTGGGCCAGCACGAATGGGGCTCTGCAGCTCCTGCTGCACCACTGGCCTGATGCAGCTGCTGGCAGCGAGTTTCAGGCTGGGGTTCCGCTGCCTCCTGCTGCTCTGCTTGTCCCACGAGGATGTGGCCACTTGGTGAGAGGACAAGTGCCCACCCGACGAGCTGGGCTGGGTTGCAAAGGGATGTGGTATGAATTCATGAGGGTTGAAGGGGCATCCGACTCCCCTCTCCCTGGGAGGCGTCCCCGAGGCACTGCTTGCTGCCCCGCTCCCAGCTCCTGTGGGTGCAGAGCCCCTGGCAGCCGCCTGCCTGGGTGGGAACAAGCTGGGTCTCAGGGTGCCCAGGGAACACCCCACCTCTCTGGGTGAGCAGCCCTGGCCCATGGCTGCTTGGAGAGGGGCACCAGCCCTCCAGCACTGTGGAGCGGGGTGTTGTGCTGAAGTTCAGCAGAGCCCAGGGGCTGCACCCATCTGGGGGGCGGCGTGAAAACCCACCGTGGTACGGGCAGGAAATGCCTTTCTAAAGGATCAGTACTTTTTTTTTTATTCCATCCTTGTTTGTTGTCTTACAAAAGCTTGAACCACTCTTTCTGAAAGAATTTAGTTTCCAGTTGGCTTTTTGGCTTTAGCTGTATGTTTCCTGGGCGCAGTGCAATTTTTCTCAGCTGAGCCATTGTACGAGGTAGTACAGTGATAGACTGTCTGTATATGTGAGGCTGTTTGTATGGGAGCCTTTTGTTTTTTCTCTCTGCAGTGGGAGCCTGTGCTCTGATTGTGTGCATTCCAGGCTTTATCAGCACTGGGAAGATGTGGCTTGGGATTTAAGGTTCTTGGAGATATTCTTGTTTGACGTTCACCAAATCTGGAGACACGTGTTGGACATGGGCATTTTATAGGCTCCAGCAGCACAGCAAGAACTGCAACCTGCTTCAACACAAAAGGGAGAAGAGGAAAGAACAAACACAACAAAAAGCTTTTCACACAGTGTTTGAAAAGCTCCCTATTAACAAAACACATGGCATAAAATGTGCTCCTTGTTGCGTTCAGGGGGAGAAGTGAAACAAACTGCTTGAGAAATGCATTCACGAGAAAGATGAGCACCAAGAAAGCTGTCTAAATTAAACAGTCACTTGTAACATCCAAACCAACAGGCAGTGCCAGCAGGAAGAGAGGGAAGTGGATGACGGGGTCCGCATACCGATCAGGGCTGGGGACTGCAGTTCTTGCTCTGGAGCACCAGCCAGCTTCAGCAGGAGCGGGCGGGTGTCCCGTCCCCGGGCGTCTGGGGGACCCTGGGCCTCCCTGCGCCTCCCCGCTGAGGAGCAGCGTTGGGTGTCGGCGGGATGGGTGAATGTGAAGCTGCACTGGGAGAGGTGGAGAGGCCTGTGGTGGCCCGCACAGCCCTTGAGTGGTGCAGACCGTATTGCACGAAGCGATGGGAACGGCGCAGCACAGACAGCTTGTTCTGGCTGCTCCAGCACAGGGGTGGCCGTGGGCTCTCGGAGCTGCTCGGTGGCTGTGTGGAGCAGGGCGACCTGCAGCTCTGGGGGGACAGGGGGACATCCCGTCCCCAGCTCCGCTGCCAGACCGGTGCTCCAGAGCCTCTGCAGCCCTTCGCCCAGATGCGGAGCTGCAGACCCACCTGGACTGGCCACCTCCGCAGTTGGTGTGTAGAGGCAGGCTCAGCCCTGTTCTCCTGGCAAATGCAGACAATGCTCGGAGCTCTGTCCCCTTCCCCCGGTGCCTGCTGAGAAGGTGGCAGCTCTCTGTGTAGCAGTGGCGACAGAGGGATCAGATTGCTGGTTCAGTTTGTGCACTGCCATAGGATACGGGCAGTCAGCCCTCAGCAGACAATTCAAAAGCACAGAAGACAACCTTAGCAGCAAAACAATTAGAAGCCTCAGAAAAGGTTACCAGTGCCCTCCCCTGCCAGCTGCCTGCCCTCTGGCCACGCAGGCAGCCCGTGTCAGATGTCTCCAGGCTCAGTGATGTCTCCTGTCACTAACTGGGTTTTTCAGTGTAGCTGGTTTTCGCAGACTTCTCTGTTTGTGCAGCAATGACATGAGTGTGAACAAAACGGGCATGTGCTTACCCAAGAAGCAGGGGAGGCATCTGGAGAGTGAAGTACCATCCTGAACTGTAACAGTCTTTATTAAAAAGTGGAATGAAGACAGGATGTGTCTGAGGTCAGGTGATGTGGGAGAACAGTGGAAGCAGTAATGCACATGCTTCAGTTACGCTATTGGAAAGATATTAGGTGCTGTCATCCTGGTTTCTGTTCCTCCTCCAGCCAGTACATTGGACTGGTGTGTACAAGTCGGAGTGGCCAGACCTCTCCTCTCCCTTTGCAGTCAGCGAGCACAGAGCGGATGAGGGGCTGTGGTAGTGTCACTGTGTCACTGTCCCTTCTGGAGCCTGTAGAGGCTGTTTCCAGCTGGGAGTTGGGGCAGAAGGTGCAGGATAGCTGGGAATTGCCTGGCGGTTGGTTCAGAGATGCCTGGGCTGGTACCTGGCTTTGTGTGGCAGATCCCCATCCCTGTAGGTGCCAGGAGCAGGGGAGAAGCCAGACACACAGGTACAGAGCACATGGAGCGTGTGTGTGCATGCAGTTTAGATAGTGATTTTTGAAGGTTTTTCCTTAACTACAACCAAGTGTCATTGTATTTTGTCTTTCATCCCCCCATCTGTCTGAAAGGGAGAGACCTAGGGAATGTAGTCTGGTACTGTGTAGGACTTTAAACAGCACAGAAATGCCTTTGCATGTTCTGCCTGGCTGCTAGATGGGTGCCCTCAGGAGACACTCCCCTGCGGCTGGTGCCCCCCAGGGCATGGGGCAGAAAGGCCCTGAGGCCACCAGTGCCTTTGTGCAGAGCTGTCCCTGCGGCGCAGGGTGAGCTGGTGCTCCTGGCCGAGAGCCACGCGGGTGCTGGACCCGCGGCCCACAGCCGGGCTGTGCCGGGCGAGCTGCAAGCGCCTGGGAAAGCCACCTCCACCGTCCCCAGCGTGCCTCCAGCCTGGAGCCCGTCCTGCGCTGCTCCTCTCATCTGATGTGGCCTGTACTGTCCGGTCTTGTCAGCTTTCCAGCTTGCTTTGTCCCTACATTTATCTTCCTTCTGTTGCTGGACATGTGACTGAAGGCTTTAATTTATTCACAGCCCTCCTTTTGGTAATTTATCCTTTGTACTCTTTGCCGTGTTGTATTATTTAATTCTGTAAAGCATGCTGGGATGCAGAGTGTATGAAAGATGCTGTACACAATAACATTATGCTGTATTGTTTGTGATTTGTAGGCCTTCTGGATTTCTAATTCTGATTGCAGTGGTGGTGTTTGTTATTTGTGTTACGGCTGTGCTCGAGGGCCTCAGCTGGATTGGGCTTCCCTTCCAGTCCCTTCCCCAAGGAGCACACATCTAACTGTGCCCTGATTTAACGTTAGTTTGCTTTATTTTGTGTGTAATGTGTGTAATGGTTGGAAATGCAGGAGATTTGCCACTGGGACTGACTGTGTGGGCTCGTGGTGTCGGGGCTAAGGCGCGGACTGCGCCCGGTGCCTGCTCTTCTCATGAGCTGCAGGGCTGCCTGCGGGGTGAGGCGGGGGTCCCGCTCTCCAGAGGTGCCCAGGGAGCTGTGGGCTGTGGGTGGGGTGCCCGGGGAGGGCACTGTTTGGGGCAGCACCGCAGCAGCTGAAGGAGGAGAAAGAGCCACATGTAGAGGGTCCTGCTGAGCAGCTGGAGCCGGTCAGAGCTGGAGGAGATCTGAGTCAACTCAGCTGCTCCTCTGGAACTGGGAAGCCCAAACCAGGGCAAATCTCGGGGCTGCTGGGGATGATGCGCTGTGTTGACTGGGGGGTGCTGGCTGCTGCCCACCTCTGCTGCCAGGGTTCTGGCTCCAGTTGCAGAGGTTCGTTTCAGATTCAGGGAAGACTTTGCCACTCGTAACTGTAGCAGAGGTTCAAGCTGGCGGCAGGCCTGGCTCGTGGCCTGCCCATGTGCTGCTGGGCTGCCCTCTGGCTCTCACTGGGATGGGTGCTGTGGCAGCATCAGGGGAGAGAGAGGTGGGTGAGGCGGGCTTCTCGCGCAGGGGTGCCCTCCTTCTGCTGTGTTTCTCCTGAACCTGTAGTTCAGAAGGTTCCCTGAGTCATGAGTGGAGTTACACCCTGTGTTTTCATGTCTGTCCTCAGCATAAGGTTCCCATCAGAGCCAGTTGTTCCCCTTGTCCACAGTCTGTGCTTAGTTCCACTTTATGCACCAAAAGCAACCCTTCAATTTTACTTGAGAGCTCTGGGCTTTGCAGCCTGGTAGAAATGTGGCCTTCGTGTAGCACACTGCTGCTGCGGAGGAGAAGTGAGAGCAGCGATACAGGGCCCGTTGCGTTAGATCCCTGCGCCCTGGGGCTGGTGACAGGGCTGGGCTTGGCACATCAGCCATTGAGTTTCCCGTTTTGCCTGGTCTCAGGTACGCCATTGACCGCAGCACGGACGTGGAGAGGATCTTCGACATCGATGCCAACACAGGCGCCATTGTGACAGGAAAGGTGCTGGACCGGGAGACGGCGGGGTGGCACAACATCACTGTCCTGGCGATGGAAGCAGGTGAGATGGAGGGTGACTGTGTGGAGCAGACGGTCTGTGCTGAGCAGAGTGAGGCAGAGGGGGAAACACGGGTGCGTTCGCTCCAGAGGTGACCAAGATGCAAGTGTTAATTAACACTGAGGTAAAAAAAAAAAACAAACACCACAAAACCAAAAAAAACAACGCAGCAGCACTGAGTCTGACATCTCCCTAGACAACCTAAAAATACTCTCCCTGACTCGAGCATTAATAAGGGAGCATGGTCGAATAGTATATTTGATGAACGCTAATCAGATTTGTGTTATCTATGCGCCAGCTCTGCCAGTCATCCCTGTGCAGCTCGCTCCCTGCACTGACACCTGCAGAGCGGCTCTGGGGGCTCCCGGGGGGTCTCTGTTCACATCACCTGCATCCCTGTGACTCAGCCACGTGCTGGGGGGGTGCTCCATCAGCCAGAGCCCTGCAGCACAGGCGGCTGCCAGCACCCACCCCTGCGGGGGTGCTCGTGGTGGTTGGGATTTGTGGGCTGTGCTTGCCCGTGGGGTTCGTGGCTCTGGATGCCTCCCATGCCCTTGCTCCTTGGTCTCCCGGCCCTTCCTGTGGCTGCAGGCTTGGCAGGGCACAGCACGGAGTGGGCGGGCGTCCCAGCACCGCAGCAGAGGGGCTGCAGGGGCAGAGTCCAGGAGACCCCGTGCTGGGCAGGGGGAGCAGCGGTGCTGCCTGGCTCTGGCCACAGTGCTTGGCCTCACCCTGCAGCCCACCAGGAAAAGTCTTAGCGGGAGGATGAGGTGAAGCTCTTTTGTTATGAAATTAGCTCCTCTTTGACTCTCAGGACCCTGGTGATGGTTTCTCCTATCCGTTATGGCTCAGCTGTCCTTCAGCCTGTATTTACAGTGCCTGCCAAATCCACTCGCACCCAGCTGGGAGAGGCGGGAGGGAACAGCTCTGCAGGCTTTATTAGTTTATCTTCCCTCCTTGTGACGGGGGCGGCGGAGCCGGGTGTGGACACTTCCAGCAGTTCTGTTTGTCTTCTCCAGTTAAGAGAGAGAAGAACAAATCTGGGTCCTGCTGCTCAAAGGAGCTCTGAATAAACTCCTCTTGAGGAATAAAAAGAAAATAATAGTAGCCAAGGGCAGGCTTTGCATTCCTGCAGGTGTTCCACTGTGGGTAAGAAGCTGCCCTGGGCATCCCGCTGCCCGCTGTCTTGTTTGCACAGTGCCTTGGCGCGCGGGCTCCGCAGGTCCTGCACGCGGTGGTGGATCTGGCCCCCGGGCCCAGGGAGCGCTCTGTGTTCCTGCTTTTTCTGAGACTGAAGATGGAGAAGGGGCTTCAATCCCAGGTGCCATGCTGGGAAGCAAATAGTCTTTGCCATATTCTTCAAAGTTTTCCACATTTGGGATGCGCGGGTCGCCCGGACAGCCGGGGACCTGCTGTGCTTGGCCCCGCCGCGGCAGCGCTACCCGGGAGCTGCTGGGGCTACGAAGTCTGACATCTGCAGAGCTGTCTGCCCGTGGGCAGGAGCCCGCCTCGGGAGTTGTAGTTCTTGATTCTTTGCTTGTTCTTGAGCAGGAAGATGCTGTTCTTGTTCAAGGAGCCAAGTCAAAGCCTGGCTTTGGGCCCAGAGATCAGTTCCTGCTGTGGGGCCACCCCACTGCAGCGGCAGCCGTTTGCTCTGGCCAGGCAAGGGGGCTGCAGCCCCGGCCAGAGCCCCGCGGCCCCGGGGGGGTGTCTGGCTCTGCCGCGCGTCCAAGCGCCTCTGCGCTGATGCTCTGTGTCTGCCGACCGGGCCCACCTCTGCGCTGTCTGCCTGCCGTGCTGTCGTGAGCCCTGCCCGGGTCAGGCAGCCGTGGGCAGGCCTGTCGGGGCTGCTCAGCTGCACCGGAGGGAGGGGGGCCCGTGGCAGAGCCGTGGCACATCCCGGGGGCTCTGGGGGAGGCTGTGCCAGCAGTGGCCAGGGAGGAGGGGATCGTGGCGTTGCAGCACAACTCAGCATCCAGAGGAAACATGAGGTGACACGAATCAGAAGGACAATATTTACACACAGCGGCTAGGATTTCAGAACAAGTCAGTAAAGGCTGTGGCTCCCCTCTGGCAGGGAAGCCTGTCAGGGCGGATTGCTTCAAAAGCCAGGGAAGCTCTTGAGCACTCTGACTTCTCCCGTGGTGAGCTCTGACTCATCCGTTTTAACTGCCCAGACATTCCTCCCAGTGACATTATCCTTAACGTTTTGTAATCATGAAATATTAATGACTGATATTGAATTTAAAGTACAATTTATGTCTGAATCCTCTAGCGGAAAGGGCAGTTGTAAAGGTACAGCCTTCCGAGTGATGGAGGGGTTTCAGCGCAGGGACGTGCAGCGCTGGCAGGCTGTGCCCAGCATGCTGGGATCAGTCGCGGCAGCGTGAGTGCAGAGCACGGGGCGGTGGAGCCTCTGTGCTGGCAGCGCCGCGTCCAACAGTTCCATGGTTCCTGGCACGCCAGTGTCTGGGGCCGGGGGGAGCTGTCAGGGCCCCGCTGTGGGCATGCGGGTCGCACCTGGCTACCGCAGGATCTGCAGCACAGCCAGTAGGACGCTGTCAACTCCGGGCGGAGGCAAGGGGTCAAATATTCTCCCTCTTTCTTGGTGAGAAGTAAACTCTGCAGAAGGAGTGGAGCGAGCCCACGGGGCATCCTGGTACCTGGGCTCATTCCCGGGCTGGTGGGCGGCCGTGCCTGCCCCGCTGCTCTGGGGCCCTGCCCGCTCAGCTCCAGCGGCACATGGGCACGCAGCCGGGAGCATGTCGCACTGAAGCGTTACCTCCCTGCAGGCTTCTCGAGCTCCTGCCCTGTCTGCTTCAGGACTGTCCTGGACGGGCTTAGCCCGCGGTACCTGGTGGAAGGTGTTCCCGCGGGAGCTTGGCTGTTGGCTTTGAGCTGCTCGGTACAAGAGCTGAGCCCTGGCTGGGACTGGCGCTGCTGTGGCACAGACCACATCCAGGGGTGCCTGTCCCACCTGCAGGTACCCCGGCGGGTGTGTTTGCATCTGAGGAGCCGTAAGAGAAGCTGCAGGCTGTTCCTGGCCGCCCCTGCGGGGCTGGCTGGGCTGCCTGCTGCCACGGGAGGGGAGGAGGGACAGGTCTCCCCCTACGTGAGCTGCCTTGGCCGGCTGGTGTCCAGCAGAACATTTGGCCTTGCAGCGCAGCAGCCAGCAGGAACCTCGGGGCTGTTCAGCAAATCTGACCTGGGACCAGGCCAAGTGTTTCCAGAGATAAATCTTCATCTCACTCACAAGCTGTTTACCTTCCTTGGGCTAATATTAGTGATTCTCTTCCTGTTTTCCTCTTTGCTCATGTAAAATGATGAGGCCTTGACTGCTGTGTCCACTGCTGGTAATTGAGATGATAAATCTTCCTGCTGGAGACTGGCTTTAATCAGAGCATTGTGTTTGGATGCAGTTTAATGACTCTCATGCTGCTGAGTTTGGGCAGGACTCAGGAGAGGTGAGAGCCATTTATATGTTACTTGGCTTAACTGCTCCTTCGGCTTTCCTTCCCCTCAGCTGGGAGCCACGTTTTCAGCTCCAGCCTCTGATGTAGCTGCCCGTGTCCAATGAGCCTTGCCATCAGCGCTCTGCTTTGCCATCAGGCAGCTGCGCTGACACCTCCAAAACGGCCCTGAGCTTGTGGCGTGAGCGCTGGAAACCAGCGTGGCCCATCCCCATCTTCTGTTCTGCGCTTTGTTCTCCCGGTTGGCTGAGATAGTGAGGAATAAATTCCACTCCTGCCTCTTCCAGCTTCCCTACTGATGTAAAAATCTTGAATTCAGTATTGTACCAGTTTGGTCTTGATGCAGAAGAGGGTGTGTTGGACACTGCACCCAGCAGCACCTCTGAGCTGTTTCCCCTGTGCTGCAACCTGCAGTCCTCCGGGCTCTCCTCAAACTGTGCTCCAGGCCCAGGGACGCTGCCGGGTGCCAGCTCTGCACGGGGAGGGCGGGG